GCTGAAAATTTAATTTATTCATTTGGGCATATCTGGCCCCTCCGAGTGTTTCATTGGCTTTGAAATCATTAGAAAATACGGAATCAACGTTCGCTTCGCGAAAAAATTCGATTTTGGTGGAGGTCAACTCTCCTCCGGAAAAAATGGAAGATGTGAGCCTTTGGTCCCAGGAAAAAAAAAAACATTCATATTTGAGTCACTCAGTCAGTGAAGCCTCGTTTCATGCACGGTGCGCATGGGAGAATCTGAACAGTAAAACGCTGCCTTACGTTGAATGAATTGAATTCTCGATTGACACGCGTTGGTTTCATGTCTTCATCTCAATTAGGGGGAGAGAAAAAATTTTTTACCCGGGACCGAGTGGTCATATCTTGGATTTTGCCGCTGAGAAAGTCTACCCGTGCGGAATTACGTCAATTATTATTTAATCAACGCATGCAAACGGTGGAATGAGGGTGGCTAGAATAGATTCTGCAATCCCCTCCCCGTGTTGGATTAAAATTTTCACCTTCCGCGTACATGCCTTCCCCCGCCGCCCCCTCGTATAATCACTTTTTTCGGAATTTTGCTTGCAAAATTCAACCATTTTTAAACAATTTAATCAATGCATGCGAACAGCGGGATGAAGGTGGCTAAAATAGATTCTGCAATCCCCTCCCGTTGTAGGGCGATAATTTCACCCCTTCGCATACATTATCACCCTCCACCCAAAATGCCGGTCGAACTAGGCGTGCGCGGAGGAATATGACTCAAGGCTGAAGCGCTTGTGCGAGTAAGAGTGAGGTCGGTTGGATAATGAGAGGGGGCTGACTCGGGCCGAGATCCGAGGTTACTTTTTTGGTAAGAGTCACTATTGGCCAGTATTCTGAAGCCGTTGGGGACTCTTAGGGAGCCAGACACCACTGTCATAATGAATCCCCCTCGCCAAGATCCAAATATCATCATTCTTGAAGGATTACATGGATTCATTTGGAAGCTGTTAAGAGAGGAGGATGGAACAAGGTAAATAAAAGAATTTTACATTTAATGTTTCACCATTGTAACTTTTTTAACATTGTCTTTGCCACTTCTCAATTTGTTTATAGATGAATTTATTTTAAATTTAATTTTTTCGAGTCAGGATTTTTTTTCAAATACTTATACCTGTTTTGAATAAAGAAAGTTCTCTTGCACTTCTTTCATAACAATGATATTTATCAAGATATATAATTTTTAAAAATAACTCACTGATGCTTATTCTTGGAGAGAAAAATACAATAAAAATTACCGGCAAAAAAAACCGAAACATTTCGAAACGTCATCTGCGAGCGAAGTCAAATTCTATAAAAGTGTGAGTTGGAACGTAAATTCTACCATCTGTTTCGTAATAATTAACCACCCGTCTGATGATTTACCGGTGTGGGGACAACAAGTCGTTCCATAATTTTTCTCCAACAATTAAAAAATGTTGCAGAACGGAACGTAAAAATAACTTCCCAGCTGCCGAATTTTTTATTTTGGAGGCATAATAAGTCAGGAACTTTCTGTAAGATTTTACTTGTTCAGGTAAAATTACGTGGCAATTTCGTACTTTGTTCGGTGATGAACTTGAGAATTCACTGAACTTTTCAGATTTATTCTCTTTCATTCCTATAAAAATTGCCGGAAAACGATACCTCCTTGCGAATTACGTGAATTGTTCCGCAATTTTTTACTGAATATTTTTCTCAGTGTATTACAACGACACGGATTCTTCATTCTTCGTCACATAATTTTCGGCGAAAGAAAAAAAAATGAAACAGAGTCAGTTTTTCGTTTTACTCTAATAAGCGATAGCGATGTATCCACCTATTGTAATAGGTATTTTAATAGGTCCCATGGATAAATCTCCGTGTGGATTACCCTCCGTGAGTATCAGAAACGAATGCGGGTTTTGCAGTCAGTACGAATGGCTGGTGGATAAATCTAATAGCAACGTCGAACGATACACACTTCATTTCGAAGAGTGGGGGCATTGCTTCAAATTGCTCCTCCTTTTATAATGGTTCCGAGAATTAAACATTTGATTTCCCTCCATAGGTTCTATCGGTGTTACCGCCGAAAAAATCCTAATCTGCCCAAAAACTCAATAACGTATGAGAGTGTAATAAATTAAGGGAAGACTGCTATGAGTATTAAAAGTCGCAGACTATTGAAATGAGATTTTTCATGCATTGAAGATCGATTACATATGTCTAAAAACGCTTAATTAGTGCAAAAAATTTAATTGTTTATTGTTCGTCTGCCCCGCAGGCGCTTAAAAAGTTGAAACTACTCCAGGTGAAAAATGCTACATGAATAGTCGGTAATTAATGCAATTGCTGTAATTAATGCTCTCATTTTATGTTGCAGCTCGTATGAGAATCAGGAGATTTTGTGCGAAGTAAAAATGGGGGGAAGAATATAAGAATAGAAATAAATTATAACCTTTTTTTATCCCTGTACAAGTATTAACAATAAAATTCTCTCTAAGTAAACTATATGTAAGAACAAATACTAAGATTTCTATCACCTTAATTGTTACAATAAATAACCCGACATGTATAAATACGAGGCAGAGAAGCAAGTTATTATCGGAATTGTAATGAACAAAACTGGAATGTAAAGGAATACTGCGAAAACTAAATGAAATTTCGATTGTACTTTAAAAAATTATCTCACTCATTTCCAAAAAATTGTAAACGCATTTTGAAAAATTTTGAAAATCAAATCGTTTTGAAAAAGATCTGGAAAAATATTTTAAAATGTCTTCAAATGCTCTGCAAAATGAAAATTACTTGATATTTTACATGTATGAAAAATAGCAATAAAGACAAAAAAATTTTTTTTGGCATCAAGTTAATTAAAAATTATGCAATTTAATGATGATATTTGCTTCCGAATGGAAGCATTGTAATTGTTCAAATTTAAATTTGGATTTTTCGTGGTATATCAACCCATTATGATCCAAAAACTCTGAAAATGTAATTTTTTGACCGTGTCCGTACGTATATATGTGCGTACATATGCAAGCGAAATTGTCTTGGATTATTCGCTAATGAATCGATGGAATAATTTTCTATTCCTCAAATATAGGTTTTGTTGAGCCCTATCAATCTGTGTTAATTACAATTTAGTAGCTAAAGCGAAAATGTTCATAATTGATTGAATTATAGCTTAAAAAATTTGTTTGGGTGTCCTTTTGACCGAGTTCGCACATGAAGGCGATAGCCATAATCGTTATTTGGATTGATTTGAAAATTTGCAAATTTTTTTTCTAATGAGGATTCCGGGTATATCTTTGGATATTATGCTTAAAATGAATTCAATTATAGTTTAAAATGTTTGTTTTAAAGCCATTAATTCGAAGTTGCTAGATGATTACAATAGCTACATTGGCTGATTTGATTTTCATGATTGTTGAAAATTTCGAATTTTTCATGAATTTCCCGGAAAGTGAGCTTTCTGATGGTTTCTTCCAATGTGATGTTTCAAATTCATTCAAGTATGTATAAATACAATTTTTTTAATAACGTGTCGAAGGGCTGAGGGGGGAGATAGAACCGTAAGAAAAGACAATCAGTTGTACAGAAGAAAGGGATAAGAAGAATAATGACGATGATAACATTGATTCAAGTTGAAAAGCGGACAAAATAAGTTTAAAAAAAACTTATTTAATTTAATAAAATGAGATACACAATGAATTAAACGTGATAAAAGAAAATTATGTACAAAATAACCATTTGGAAGAGTATTGCCAATTTATTAGCAAAAATAACTATACTATATGTACTACAAGAGCAATTTTTAACTTGTTTAAAATAGATATCGTTCTATTGAAAAATTTCCCCAGCGGCATAACCCGCGACTTTTGAAACTCTCATAGTAGTCTCCCCTTAACGCGCTATAATTCAAATCCACCGGGTCAGTGCACGGTAAAAGCACGACGATGGAACTATGCTGGTGATATCTCTACAGTCGGTAATTTACTCAGATGGTAACTGATATTTCAATATCAGTTCGGACAAAACGAAATTTTGTCTTCGTTGATTCTTGCGCGAAAACAAAATTGGTTGTCCATATAAATAATCTTTTTCCAAAAGTCACTTAAATAAGTGTATTCACGTCAATAGGCTGTTTTTATTCATTTCTCCATAGGTGTAATATTGTAAACTATTATCGTTGTCATGAAATTTTTTTTTCTCCATTTGCTCGCACAAAATAATTCTTGAACCGAAAGCGTGTTAGACTATAGATATGCTACATTTTTTAATATTATTGTCATCAGTTCTATCGCCGTTTATGATGCCGAACCTTTCAATATTTTCAATGATCCCTATTTCAGATTTATATAAACTTGAGAATATGTATCCATCGATAGAAAACAGTGCAGATCATTCATTGAATACACTATTTTTTTGCGTAAAGATGTTATGAGGTTTGGGATTTAATAAATATTCGGAATTCAATTATTGTAGAGTTATGAGTATTGTGTGGAACAATCCTAATATATGGAAATGAATTCCTACAAACATTATCCATCATCAAAAATCAATTAAATTCTAAAAACATTGGTCATTCTTTCTATCTTCACTCAATTTTCCATGGACAATTTAGTAATACAGTCCTTATAACGAACAATAGAGGCAATTTTCCTTATAATAATGATATAATACATCACTCATTGGGAATTTCCTAGGTCATCACATTTGTGCGTTTTGATGTGCATATCAACAAGCGATATACAAGTNGTTTGGGATTTAATAAATATTCGGAATTCAATTATTGTAGAGTTATGAGTATTGTGTGGAACAATCCTAATATATGGAAATGAATTCCTACAAACATTATCCATCATCAAAAATCAATTAAATTCTAAAAACATTGGTCATTCTTTCTATCTTCACTCAATTTTCCATGGACAATTTAGTAATACAGTCCTTATAACGAACAATAGAGGCAATTTTCCTTATAATAATGATATAATACATCACTCATTGGGAATTTCCTAGGTCATCACATTTGTGCGTTTTGATGTGCATATCAACACGCGATATACAAGTGATAGTTAAAGATTTTATAACTAGAGTCATTACAAATAAATCACTCAGCACTGATATCTCAGATACGATATAATAGTCTCGTGTAATGATAAATGTTATAATAGTAACCAGCTGTGAAGAAGATTACAATCAAATACTTGCACCCTTTACATATTTTATTTTTGGTTTTTTTAGATGCTAGGGAATTTTTAGTTTCGTCAAGTTTGCGGCATTTGATGATGGTAAAGTGGCGGTCGTGGGGGTCACCCTTGGAGTCAGTCAAACCCACTGAAATGTAGTATATACTGGAAAGGGCACTGCTATGCTAGGCCCGTAAGCGTAAAACGAGCCAGAGCACTGAAATGTGGTATATACTGGAAAGGGCACTGCCATGCTAGGCCCGTAAGCGGAAAACGAGCCAGAGAGAGGTAGATTTTCAAGGATACCTGTCTCACTTTAGCAGGCCTTGCGCATGCGTAGAACGAGCATGTACATGCGAGTTAAAAAGCTTATGTACTCTGAGTGGTGCACACTCAATTGTTGCTATTTACGTCTTGGCGATAATTGTCCCATTGTGAGAATAAAAAAATATCCTCTAATCCACGAACAGCTATTTCGTAGAAAATTAGAGGAAAAATCGTGTATTTTGATGTTGTCTTCATTGGATTTCTCTTGTATTCTTCATGCATTGAAAAAATTCACAATTACAATATTCTTATTTTTTATTGCAGTATTGGGACAACTAGATATAAACTGATTCCAATTCAACCCCTCGACACACGAGGCATTTTCCTGAACTTGAGAGTCCCTGGAATTCCCTCAAAATAAAACCTATATCATTCAATTTATACTTTCTGTTTCAGGAATTATATTGGACATACCTAAATTTCAAAATCCGAATACTGATGACGATATCGACTCAGAGGATTTCGATCCAGCTTCAGGTTGATTGAACAAATAATCTCTTGAATTGTATATTTTTTTGTATTTTTCCCATGTGGAATTAATTTAATTAAATTGTAAATGGCCCAAGTATTATTACATTGGAAAAAAATGATCAATTCTATGTTATAATGATGCAACAATACAAATTGAACGCCAATACTGAATTCTATACGTTCTAAAAGGTAAGAAAACTTTTTGAGCGGACGGTACGAGAGAGATAGTTATCCTTGAAAATCGCCCCTCTCTGTCGGCTCGCGTCAGGCGGATCAGTGCCCTTTCCAGTATATACTACATTTCAGTGGTCAAACCCCCTGATCCGGGCCTCTACTTAGGTCTATCCTCTTTGTGCTACACTGTACCGCATTTGCTCCCGCGAAAGAGACGAAGGAAACCGCAGAATACCTCCGTCGGTACAGTCGATTCCTCTATTAGGAACCTCCCGCTCGTCCAGAGCCGAGGTGAGACGGACCCCACCAGAATCCGCCCCAGGCGAGCCCCTTAACCCCATTTACCCTAAGTTAACGGTCCCCCCCAGTCGGGATCCGAAGCCCAGTCACCCTTTCGAGCCCCCAACCCCTTTTTCCAGAAGTCAAAAAACCCGACCGGACTGGGATTCGAACCCACGACCTCCTAGTGGCCAAGCCGAACTAACAATTTAGCCACCGCGACCATTGGACGTCGGTATTTATGATGCTTCATTCAGTATCCTGGCCTGCTGCATTCGTTTTACGGGTCTTTTCCCACAGACGAGAGGATAATGGGGAGTTTCGGGTTATCTTCTGGTTAGCTACAGTCCTTCAGGTCATCTCCAGGGGATGATGATCGGTGGTGTTCTCCGATTTTCCCAGTTATTGTTCACAGTGTTTGTACAATTTGGTGAGATTTTATGTTACGAAGGGAGGAAGGTAAGGTAATCCCGCACATTTATTGTCCGTCCGGTTGAAAAGTATTTTGCTTAGGACCCGGGATTTTAATCGATAATTCTTGTATTTTCAATTCTAAATTGACTACGCGTAATTTAAGGGAACGAGGATTTCTCCTCGTCCCAAAAGGAACAATAAAACAAGGCATAATAAAAGAGCATCAACGTCGCGGCCGCGGCTGCGCTAATGTCCTAAATACTTGACTATTTTGTATTCAAGAGTATTGAAAATACTACATATTCAAGTATTTAATGTTTTCTTAAGTTTTTAAATACTAAATGATAGTCTATTTAGTATTTAAATTGGCATTTATATAAAAAAATATCAAGTTTTGCCCATCATCGGTCCATTATATGTATAAATTTTCACTTTGGGATTTCGATGAATAAATTAACAGAGTTAAACAAATGAAGAAAATGATACAATATATGAAATAAGTATCAGTAATAACAAAAATAAAACACCATTTATGACATCTTGTAGGCAGGTTCCACGTTTTTGCAATCAACAGCTGCTCAAACTCGTTCGTAACGCCGTGCGCATGCGTAAAGTAGGAATGAAACCACGTATACACATTGAGATTCTCGAATTCGGGCTTTAGTTTCCGAGAGTCCGTTGACCACCGATAAACGCATCTAGAAAACCTTCTACTCCAACTAGCAAAATAACAATAAATATTTTAAGATAACTTGTTTTGTGAAGAGCAAAAAAATGACGCATCACGGACAAAGCTTTGATTCAAACTGCATGACGTTGACTCGTTTTGTACTCCAGGAACAGCGGAAAATCCCTCAAGCCACTGGGGATCTAACTCAGCTTTTGAATTCCATTCAAACGGCAGTGAAAGCTGTTAGTTCGGCTGTTAGGAAGGCTGGTATCGCTAACATGTGAGTAATTCATGGTTTTCTTCAGGTCATAAGTCATCGAACGTTGTGGAAATAATATTTGTAATTTTTTTCATATAAAATTTTCCGCAACTTTTTTAATGGTTTATTTTGAATTTAGGAAAATTAATTATTTGAAATAACGAAAATCAATTGTTCGCTTCTTGAAACGTAATCTTTAAAATGATGAAATTTTCTTTCACGAGATTTTGAATGCAATTAGAGCATTTATATTTTCATTCTGATGATGTAAGATTCTCCCATTAAACGATGAGATGAGCGGTTTATCATCAGCCGTTGATAACGTATTTTTCAACTAATTTAGACTCAATAAGTGCACCTTCATAAGATATGAATAAACAAGAGGGCATAAGAGAATTATTTATATTTTGATTCGGAAACGGGACTTGATAATAAGTTTAAAGCTTGCTGCTGATTTCAGATGAACAAATAAGAAGAGATGTAGATTTAAAAAAATGGCTATCGCCCGGAGCGGGTGGGGTCATGCAGAACTCATAAGATAAATCTCCCACGGCAATGTCACCGAGGAGAGATTAGTAAAGAGGCTCACTGCCCATGTATTTTCTGACCAGAGAAATTTTCCGAGTTTTTGTGCTGCTGCCCCCTAGGTACTACTCGGAGCGAGGTCGATAAAGTTGACTTAAAGACCACTCAAATTAAATCTTGACATTATGCGACGAAATTTTTTGAATATGACAATTCACCGATATTTTTTCAGATGTCATTGTGCAAAATTCTGATTTTTATTAGTGAAACAATTATCAAAATCTTTCACTGTTTCGAAAATTAGAATTTTTATCGATATAAAGTTCATTGACGGAAATTCATTTTTTTTTCTTTTAGCAACGTTGTTTTTTGCTTCCGAATGGAAGCATTGCAATCGTTCTATTGTTCGATTTTCTAATTTTGTTTGGAAACGATGCAGAATGGTCTGAAACGTAAAAATACGAAGTTTGACCACCCCGTGTGTATGCGCGGGTGTCTATCTGGTGGTCAACTTTTAGAAAATTGCAAAATTAAAGAACTAAAATGATTTCGAAAAATCTGAAATTTTGTCACATTATAAGTATATATAACGACTAACTCTGTGCTCAATTTCAGCCCAATCGATTAAGCCGTTTTCGAGAAATCGCCATTTTGTTTCTAAATCGTTTTTCGCAAATATTTCGAAAACTATTCAACCGATTTCATTTTTTTTTCAAAATACTCGTCTTGATGTCACCTATAATAAATAATCAAAATATATATAGCGGTTCATTTAAAGTTTCCGAGATATTTCAATTTTTCTGTTTTTTGCTAAAAATGCTTGTTAGCACTCTCACTTTCGGAAAAATCGATATATTAACTTGAAATTTGGCATGAAGTTTCCTCTCTGCACTGGAATGTTTGGTATTAAAAATGGGCTCGATCGGATTATTAGTTTGGGAGATATTCAAGTTTGTATGTGAATCTAGTTTCTTGAATATCTCGAAAACTATTTAATCGATTTCATTTTTTTTTCAAAATATTCGTCTTGATGTCCCCCATCTCAAACAATTAAAATATATATACCGGTTCATTCAAAGCTTTCGAGATATTTCAATTTTTCTGTTTTTTGCTCAAAATGTATGTTAGCACTCTCACTTTCGAAAAAATCAATATATTAACTTGAAATTTGGCATGAATTTTCCTCTCTGCACTAAAATGTTTGGTATTGAAGACGGGCTCAGTTGGATAATTAGTTTGGGAGGTATTCAAGTTTGTATCTGAATCTATTTTCTTGAATATCTCAAAAACTACTTAACTGATTCCAATTTTTTTTTCAAAATATTCGTCTTGATGTCCACTGTCTCAAACAATCAAAATGTATATGCCCGTTCATGCAAAGTTTCCGAGATATTTTTATATTTCGGCGTTTCCCTCAAAATGCTTATTTGCACTCTAATTTTCGAAAAAGTCGATATATTCACTTGAAATTTTGCATGAAGTTTCCTCTCTATACTGAAATATTTGGCACTGAAAATTGGCTAAATCAGATGATTAGTTTGAGAGTATTCAAGTTTGTATCTGAATATATTTTCTTGTATATCTCATCACCTACTCAACCGATGTCAATTTTTTTTCCTTCAAAATACTCGTCGTTTGTAATGTCCTTCCTTTTCTTTTATTATTCCTATCCCTTTCTAAATATTTTTTCACCATTTATTCATCTCTTTTTTGCTTCCGAATGAAAGCCTTGTATTTGAGCGATTTTTCGATTTTCTAATTTTGATGGCAAATGGTCTAGAATGTTATGAAACCTGAAGAAATTATGTTTTTAGGGTCATGTCTGTATGTATGTGTGTGATAACTTGGGTTTTTGGTGATCAATTTTTAGAAAAATCAACATAAATACGGTGAAATTGCCGATAAAAGTCTGAAATTTTGGCCCATGGTAGCAATGATTAAGCTTCACTTTGGTACGCAGTTTCAGCCCGATGGGTCCAGCAGTTCCTGAGATATAGCAACTTCTTGAAATTTCGTTTTTCCTCAATATCTCAAAATCTACTCCACCGATTTCAATATTTCTTTTTTCAAAATACTCTTCTCGATGGCATCTATCTAGATCAATCAAAATATATATACTCGTTCAGACAAAATTTGAAGATGTTGCCGTTTTTCCGTTTTTTTAATGAAAAATCTTGTTTATACGATAAATTGATAAAAAATGGAGATAGGGAGTTGAAATTTTGTATGCTTCAAACTTTTATCACATTGGCCGAGCGTTTCTTGGGTTATTCAACCTTATGTGTAAATATATTTTTTCAAATTTCTCATGAACTACTGGACGGATTTCAATTTTTTTTTTCAAAATACTTGTCTCGGTGGCGACCATCTAGATCAATCAAAATATGTATACCCGTCCATACCAAAAATCAGAGATGTTCCCGTTTGTTCATTTTTTAAATTTTTCCATTCTTGTACGCACGATATTTTGAGGAAAAATGAAAATAGTAAGTTGAAATTTGGTGTGATTATAGCTCTTACAATATTGAAGATTCTTATTTTGGATAGGCGCAATCAGCCGAGCAGTTTCGGAGATATTTAACCTTTTGTACAAATCTATTTCATTAAAAGGTTGAATATCTTCCTGTAGACATTCTGTAGCATGTGGTTACGGTTGTATACCTGTCACAAGGACAGGGAATTGCTACGGATCCTTTCGGAAGCTTACTACCAATAGAATTGGTAGAAATAAAAAAAAGAAAAAGACTAATGACGCAAAAAGTAACGGTCACATGCCTTCTGTCGGATGGGCTCGAATCCCTGCTTGTTTCTTTTTTTCGCATCCGATGCGAAAAAGTCCAATTTGTGTGATTGAAACCACAAATTCTCAGTGCTTAAGAATTTGAAATTTCCATTTAAAAATTTTGTTTTATGCTGAAAGACAAAAAAAACAAACACGTAACGATAAATAATTTCATGTATGAAAATTTCAAATGACGGACATTAAGATCTAGGCCATAAATGGACAAAGGGCTTGGGAAATTGGTACGAGTCACAGCTCTGCTACCCCTGAGTCACCGGGTTGCCTCGATCGTCTCAAACTAGATTGTAGATCATACACCCAGAAAACAATTTTTGCCAGTACCATTTAAAATTTAACAGGACATCGGCGATTTGTTGACAAATTGTCCACATACTGTTTGCTGAGCAAAAAGTGAATGGGGAGATTTATTTTTGGCACGGTTGCTTGGGGAAAACTGAAAGGGGACTAAATTTCCGAAATTTTCTGTTGTATGCTCTACATATAAACGCTTTTTTGTTTCACACAAACGAATTTGTGCCGAATATTCTGAACTAAAAAATTCATGGTAAAGTATAACAATATAGTTTTATTCACCTCACGACGTTAAAATTTTAGATAGATCATTCTATTCACACGTAATTCCGCACGATTGAATGAAGAAGGTACTCAAAGTATCGATAATGAGGCTATTACTAGCTCACAACAGGTATTAATCGTTGTTGCCATTGTGTCACCATAAGATACTTTTCAAATGTCCGAGTGGGCAGGTATGGTGATTACATCTCAGCAGGGCACATTACCCTCGCAAAGCAGAGCCGAAAATATGAATGAGAATGTAAAGGAAACTTTTCACCCCAAGTTTTCTGATTGGGGGACAACTCTTTTGATTCAATATTTCACTCGGTGACCCATCTAATTTTTCAATTTTTTAATTACATTTTAGGGGAGGGTGGGGCAAAACGGCCCCCCTTCAATTGTCAATAACTTGTGGATGACATTGTGAAAATTCTCAGTTTCAACTTCATTTTGAAGATAATTCTTCATTCTTCAAAACGAGCTCTAACTCATCCCAATCGGATTATTGAATCGGAAAATATTGACGATTGAAGGGGGGCCGTTTTGCCCCATCCTCCCCTATCTAATGCACAGCTCGTATGCTGTGACGTATTTGGCACCGCTGCGGAACGGTACGAAAATACGCAGCCCTCGGCAACCAAATTTTATAACCAAAAGTTGAGCGCCAGTACGTTTTCTTTCAAAACGCACAAAAATCGAAATCCGAAGTCTACAAAATAAACCAACGAAGGAACAGCTGCCGACAGCTCAGTATATCATCCGCGGAGGCAGCTGGGTTCCAAAATGCTACTCCGAAAAATTATTTTGAAATGACTAGGTTCCAATTTACTAAAAAGAAGTCAGAAATGCAGGGTAACAGATAAATTTAATAAGATAATTAAAAATCGAAAATCTGATTACAAAGGAAATATAATGGATAAAACCCCGTCTTAATCACGATATTCGAGACACTTAATCCCCGGAAAGAAAACACAAAGCCGAATTACAAAATAATAAATAAACGATTAGAAGACTCGATACAACACAATTCCACAGCCGCGATATGTCAAAAGATAAAACACTAGTCAATTAAAAAACAGTCAAAATCCGTGAATTAATCGGTAGTCCATGAAAAAGGTCAAACAGTAAAATAACTAGC